CTGCCTTCCGCACCTTCACCCCAGCTAGGGATATGGTTGATGTTTCCTCCGGGGGTCGATAATAGACCCGGTCGCTCCCCATTATACACCCGAACTCCCCAAGGGATAGCTTAGTTCTCCACTCTTTTATGACTGCTTCTTCTTTCTTTATGGAGAAGTAGCCATCAGTATTTCTTTCATCCCCTTCTACCGCCTGGTGGTAAGCGATATGCGCCCATAGATCGTTTGCATTCTCTACGCGGCGGGTCCCGGTGCGCCAGGGGCAGCACCCAATTAGATTCATCTCCATCACCGTGCCCTTAAATCCCATCCTTGTCGCCATGTCTCGGCCGGCTGAAACTGACTCGAGGTGATTTAGAAACTATTCGTTTACTAGGCAGGCTGGTGAATGGAGAGACGGACAAAGTTTAGTGGTTGCAAAAACTTTACTTACGCCACTTGTAGCCGCGACGCAGGTGGTCCGATCGCTTAAACAACTATGTGAGTTGCTCCAGCTGGTAAGGCTCAGGCCAGCGAATCCGTATTAAGCCGGCAGGGAAAGGGTACGTCGAGGATTGCGCTCAGCGACGGGAAGAAGAATCGATAGGCGATCAGCCTATCGATCAGCTAAGCTGCAAGTCAGATATCTTTAGTACTGTACAGCATGCTCAAAGTTCTCCGACTTGGGCGGAAGTTGCACGAAATTTTAAACGGCCAGCAAGCCAATTACTAACCGCCACGTAGGAATAATTTAGAACTAGCCAATAGTGGGACACAAATTTGCATACGAAATGGCAGGAACTCTCTTGCACTGGGGTTTTTCTGTTACAACAAAAACCTTTGCTGTGCAAGAGACTCTCAAGTGGTGGGAAAATTCCATCGTGCCGAGGCACCAAAATCACTGGGTTGTGACATAGTAAAGCATCACCATCTACACGTGCAACACTATTAGGCTGGAGTAAACTAATGAACTCCACCATAGGATAGTACTGCCCAACCTAGGATGACCACATTTTCCAAATTGAAAGGCAAGACACGTGGCCCTCCCCCCGCACACACACACCAGTGGCATGGCCAGACCAGAGCCGAACGGGGTGGGGGCGGGCTGACTGGTTCAGGCTTGGGGCTCCCCACCCTGCTGCCTGCCTGGCAGCAGTGGACAGCAGAGCTGCATGCCACTACTGCCACAGTGGCTGCCAGGTGGGCAGGGGGCACGCAGCCAGTGCAGGCATGCAGAGGGCAGCCTGTATCCACCCTTGCTTCACACAAATCTGGGAGGCACATGGCCCCCCATACCTCCAGCGAGTGCATGCAGTGGCAGAAAGCCACCCTCCCCTGTTCCTTGTGAATGAGTGGCCCATGGCTGTTCTGCTCCTCGCCCCAGACCCAGAGTCCCATGCACTACCCTGGCTGGACAGTGCCTCCAGCTCCTACTCTCCCTCACTGTGGGGGCCTCGATCTGCCCTCCCACACTCCCTCTGCCCACCATAGACTTACCTGCAGGGAGCTGCTCTCCAGGCTGCCCAGCTCTTTCCTGGTCATGCTTGTGTGTGGGTGCACATGGTGCCCCTTGTGTCCCACTCCCAGCAGCCCCTTGCAGGCTCGACCAATGCAAAGGGAGACCCAGATCACTGCATGATGTTGCAAACTGGGGACAAATGCTGTCCTGGAGTCATGCAGCCTGGGACTGGGACTTGATGATCCCATTTTGGGACTGTCCCACCCAATTAGAGATTGGTGGTCACCCTATGCTTGACACAAGTACTATCCTACGGTGGAGTAGTTATGTGCCCTCAAACACTTTTATAAACAGTGTGCTTTTCATGCCCCAGCCAGCCCCTTTGCAGTATGTTTTGCTGAGTCAGAGCAGCTCCAGGTTGGCAGGCTGACACCCCGCCCCTTCCCCCCCCCCCCCCCCCCCCCCCCGGCGCCCGCGCCCCCCCCCCCCCCCCCCCCCCCCCCCCAGACCCTCTGCCAGCCAAGGCTGCACCACTCCAGCTCAATGTGCTATGGTCCTGGGAACAATAAGCTCCAGCACAAACTGTGCCAGAGTTTATTCAGATGCATTCATAGCACATGTAGATGTGCCCGGAATGTTCCATTAGTATTTGTGTAATTATTTCCATAAAGTAGCTTTCATTGTAGGTTAGCTGTCCTTACCAACCTCACAGCAAGCTGTTAATAAAGCATTTAGCAAAATAGTGGACGAGCAATTGACTGCCAATAAAACTGGAGAAATGAGCCCTAAACTGACTTGTACTAAATATACAGAACTGGGATATCTTTTCCCAAATTCTTTTGTCATGAATAAAATAATTTTAAAGTTTCATATTTTATGTAGTTTTTGGCTCTTAGTTATTAATTTATTAGTTGAGTAAAAGCAATAATAGATTTAGGTTGGGTGAACACATTTCATGAACATTGGCATGAACACATGTCCCCTTGCACTTCACAGTCCTCAGTATTCATGACGTGCTGCTTTTGTCAGCTTTTTGTAATTTTTTTTTTTTAAGGCAAGGGTGTCAAATACATGGCCCATGGGCTGGATCCAACCTGTGGAGTTGCTTCATCCTGCCCACTAGGCTACCAACAGGCTACCAGAAGTTGTGGGGCCTGGTTAGAGGGTCGTGACCTGCTGCAGAATCTGAGGCCCCTGGGTCCTAGTGGACTTGGCTGTTGTCAACAGGAAGACAAGCAAGGGCTCTGTGGACGCGGTCCTGCTTTCCCTGAAGCCACTTAGGCTACCATCATTTGCCCTACTGCCACCATCCCTACCATCATCCTTCCCAGTCCCTCTGTCCCTGACACTGCTGCCCTGTGCCCCGGGGAGGCCCGCAGTACAGATCTGGCACCCCTATTTTAAGGTATTAAGTCCAGATCAGAGTCTGGAATGGAAAAGTAAATGAAGCAATAGTGGAAGAAGTCATATTTTGCAAGTAACATCATTGATATTTTCTACCATATTCCTGGTAGTATCTATTTGCTACACCTACATTCCCAACAGTTTCCATTAATCATCAAATTTCAATTTGTATACATTGGGATAATTGAATCAGGGATCTGACATAACATGATTCCATGTGCAGTGGGAGGAACAATGTACAGATTATATATACAATTGTTGACACACGTTTGTGCTGTGGGTATTTTTGAAAATTTCAGCTGAAATTTTTAAATACCCTGTCTATTTTTTTTTTTCTTTCAGGAGACTCTGGCATTGGAAAGACTGCAATGATTCAGCACATGCTTGAAAGACTTCAGAAAAAAGGATTATCTGTGACATCTGGAACAATTTTAGGAGATGTCTTCTTACACAGTGAAACTAAAAGAGCAAGGTTGTAGATCACTGAAATGTCTGTCCCATCAGCGTTTAATATATAGTAGGAAATAATGTAATCAAACTGTCCTTAAACTTAAGAATGAATGAATAACCAGTTTTAGTAATTTATACTACAGATTTCAAATAGTTAAAAATATATATATTTTAAGCCGCAGTTTTTAGGTGCTCTTAAGCTTCTGAAAAGAGAAAATATATTAGTCAAATGCTGCTTTGCAGACATTAAACGCACCCCCCCAAACAGCACTTTACTTTAAACTTGGTGCACTCCAACACCGAGCCTAGCATGTACCCAGCAGAGGCAGTGCATTAGTTGGACCCAGCTCCCCCAATGTCTGTATAGATCAGGCACTTTAATGGGGCTTTTTTGGTGCTTTTATCTAATAGCTGATTGAATCAGCTTCAGCTAAAAGCACCAAAAGGCCCCACTGAAGCACCCAATCTATACAGATGCTGCAGAGTCAGGTCAATGTAATGCCCTGCTCCTTCCAGTAAAGCAACTTTTTTGGGGAGAGTTTTAATGTCTGCAAACTCAATACTGACAAGTGCAAGGTGCTGCACCTGGGGAGGAAGAACCAGCAGCATACCTACAGGCTGGGGAACTCCCTTCTCATCAGCGCAGAGGCAGAAAAGGATCTTGGAGTCATTATTGATGCCAAAATGAACATAGGCTGGCAGTGTGGGGACGTGGCTGGAAAGGCCAACCACACCTTGTCATGCATCCACAGATGCATCTCAAGCAGGTCCAAGGAGATGATCCTCCCCCTCTATGCAACTTTGGTCAGGCTGCAGTTGGAGTACTGCATCCAGTTTTGGGTGCCGCACTTCAGGAATGATGTGGACAGCATGGAGAGGGTCCAGAGGAGGGCCACTCGCATGATTGGGAGGCAGCAAGGCAGGCCCTACGAGGGGAGGCTACGGAACCTGAACCTTTTCAGCCTCCACAAGAGAAGGTTGAGAGGAGATCTGGTGGCCATCTACAAACTGACCAAGGGGGACCAGCAGGCAATGGGAGAGTCTCCCGAGCACCACTGGGAGTAACGAGGAATAATGGCCATAAGTTGATGGAGAGTAGATTCAGGCTAGATATCAGGAGGCACTACTCCACAGTCAGGGCAGGTAGGATCTGGAACCAACTTCCAAGGGAAGTGGTGCTCTCTCCTATCCCGGGGGTCTTCAAAAGGAGGCTAGATAGACACCTAGCTGGGGTCATTTGACCCCAGCATTTTTTCTTGCCCATGGCAGGGGCTCAGACTTGATGATCTGCTCAGGTGCCTTCCGACCCTACCATCTATGAAACAGCCAAATTGTCTTATGCTCATTCTTAACCCAAAAGAAACTCCATTTAAGTTCTTATTCTCATTACATGGAAAAATGTTATTTCTGAGTTACAAAAATCCAGTTGTGCATTTTTCTACTTGTCTTCTGACCAGTCTGTTGAAAAATACCAGTGGCATAACATCTGACATACACTGGGGTGCCTGGAGAAAAACATGGGCCTCAATTGGAGACTCAGGTATGTGATTATTCTCATCTTCAAGGATTATAGCACCATATTTTCATTTTTGTCTGTGCAATTTTGTACTTTCACTTTGGAAGCCTAATTGTGGGGTCAGTGAATTACCTACATTGGTTCAAGTTGCCAGTGTATCTCAACATTTGAACAATGGGTGTAAATTGTACCTGCCAGAAAAAACGATGAACTAAGTCCTATCTAATGATTAGGTATGTGTGTTACAAAAATGGCAATATAAAATTGCATTAATTACTAAAAAGCTGTAAGCAAAGGGCGTACTACAACTTTATTAGAAAGTTAAACACTAAAATGTTTGATATTTGATATACTATAATAGCAGAGCAGAAAAGTTCAGTGGGTTAGAAAATGTTAAGTCATTGGCTTGCAAACTAGAATATAGTTCCAATTTCATTTGCTTTTATTTGTGCTTGAAGTTGCTACCCATAGCTTTTAATTCTCGTTATATGATGAAAATAGCGATAAATCATTCTAGTGGAAAAATAGTATTTTCTATCGTCAAAAATGCTAGACTTTTTCAATGTTTTAGAATGTTACAAATGTTAGGTTTTTTTCTAAATTCTCTCACATGCATCTTAGGGCCTGGGTACATGGTACATATATACAGGCGTGATTTTTTTTTTTAAATATAATTTTTGTATGCTGAAGCAAATTTTCTTAGGATCTCAAGTGTGCAAAAAGCAGCTTATCCTAAAGTAGTCTCCTATGTGCCTCTAGAACTGCATCTCACCACTAGGTATTGGGGGACCTGGTAATAGTCTGTTTGTGTGGAACACATGGCTACCTCACTATAATTTGCAGATACACAACACCTACATCAACATAATTTACACGAGGGTAGTCTTATCTTTGATTCTTTCCAAATTGAATCTACACCAGATTGGGCAGAGTTACCCCATATATATTTTCTATCTGTTTACTCCTTCCTTCCAATGGCATAAAGACCAATTACATTCATGTAAAAGTGTAATGGGTACAGGCCCTTAATTTGGAGGAACAATTCTTGAATCTATATTAATAAAAGGGCCTGTGTGTGTGTCAGCGCCATAGCTCCACGACCATGGTACCTAGAGACCTGAAACTTTTCATGCATACTAAGGGGACCCAGGGGCATGCACCTGGGTGCTATTTTTTTTATTTGGCTCAAAAAATAATTGCTGATTCTTTTTATTTTTTTATTTTATTTATTTTTTCTATTCTTCATAAACCCCTGTGACAGGTCAGCCCCAGGAGGCAGAATAAATTTGCCTGTGCAAAACATTCTTTAGCAAAACTCAAAGCTTCTGCCCAAAGTCAACCGGTACAGCTGGAGAAGGCTCCGCGTTTAGAAGTATTCCCCTAAGGGCTGCTGTTGGGACTGGTTAACAGGACCCGGGAGCACCCACAGGCAGAGTAAGGGCTTAAGGAAGGTCCAGGGATAAAACTGTACTGGGCCTTCTCAGGGACTGATTAGGGTGTTGTGAGAGGCATTCCCTGTAAGGCAATCTACAAGAAGCAAATTTGCCAAAAATCACCTTGCAAAAGCTGCAGCCAGAGCAGCTGAGACTCTAGAGCAGCAACTTGCAAGATGAGAAACAAACAGAGCAGCAATGGCTGCATCCAGAGAAAATGAAACTCCTGCAAAGCAAGTTGCAAACAGAGCAGCAATGGCTGCAACCAGGAACCGGCCCTGGAGGGAAAAAGAAGACTCTGATTTTTCTACAATCCAGCCTTGGATTATGGTTCTGATCCATTAGTTGCAATTGGCTCAATGCCGACTTCTTGCAGCTACTGCCTTGCAATGAGATGGAAAGTAGAAACTCCAGGGATATACTGCAACAGTGGCAAGGTTCAACTGCCCCAAATGAATGATCCTCCTGAGCCCCTTCATACATTGTTGACAGGCAACACTCCAGATGCACATAATTTCCAAAGCAACATTAGAAGATACACCTCATGCTTCCAAATGACTTCTTTTGGCACCACAAAAGACATCAGAGAATATGGCTACATGCCCACATTTAAAGTGCATGGCCAGGTTTATCTTCAGATTGGTAGTCTGATGCTACTCCCAAATGAAGAGCCCAAATTCCTGAAGATCTACTTCATGGGTAACAATACAAAGCAGGCTGAACAGCATTGCAACAATTTCATTCAAACAAACCTACAGGTGGTGTTGCAGTTGCAAGACCTACTCCACAAGGAAAACACCTATGTTCACAGGTTCAAGTGTGCCATGGAAAAGATGTCTCCAGAGTATAGTGTTGTCATTCATGCAGACAAAACTCCAGCTGGTGAGCATGAGCAGTGCTTCAATGCACCCACAACATCAGAAGTGACTATTGTTCTGTCTGGTGAACAACAGGGCAATCAAGACATTGTGTTGCAACTCAGGAACAACTCCCTCCAGAGAATTGCTGAGACACATTGATCACATGATGCACTTCAGTATCCACTAATTTTCTGGCAGGGTGATGATACCATTTTGAACTGTGACAAACAAACCCAGCAACAGGTGATGCATCTGCTGGAGAGTTTGCTGCAAGCCTGCTCAGACTGGGAAATGGGGCCATGGTATCTGAGAATCAAGATGGAACTATCTCAATGAACAACATTGGGGAACCAGTTGCAACACTTCAAAAACTGAAAGAGGCAGTTTTTCCAAATGTTGCATATCACTTTCATGACCACAAGTGGCTATACCAAAGAGCCATCCTGGCACCAAAAAAGGATGCAGTCAATACCATAAACAAAGACCTTCTTTCTCAATTGCCTGGCACTGTCAAAAAATGCAAGTCAGTGGACACTGTTCCAGACAACAATGAGGCACTCAACTACCCAACAGATTTCTCAACTCTCTCGAACCACCAGGTGTACCTTCACACAATCTGGAGCTCAAGGTTGGTGCACCCATCATTCTTCTCAGGAATCTGGACCCACCAGCACTCTGCAATGGAACACGATTGGCTGTCAAGAAGCTCATGCCACATGTCACTGAAGCCACCATCATGACTGGCCATGCAGCAGGACAGGATGTCTCCATTCCACGCATTCCAGTCATTCCCTCTGACCTGCCATTTCAATTTAAATGGTTCCAGTTCCCCATCTGCCTCAGTTTAGCCATGAACATCAACAAGGCACAGGGACAATCACTCAAAGTTGTTGACCTCAACCTGCGATGCCCAGGCTTTTCTCATAGCCAACTCTGTTCCAGAGTTGGCAACTGGCAATGGCAAAAACCTTTTCATCTTGGCACCAGATGGCAAAACATGCAACACTGTCTATCCTGAAGCTCTACACGGATACAAAAGCATCAAACACCATCATAAACTGGGATAGAAAAATGTAATGTGAAATCCTCAGTGCTATGCTAAAGTCTTACAAAGTAAATAAATAATTATACCTCACAATTCAGTTGTTTAATACATTTAAATGTTCAACTTTTTTGGTATGACCAAAAGCTCAGTGTCAAGCTGTATCACACAAGTAAAATAGGGTACAAAACTAAACACATTATTAGTAGAGGGAAATCGGATAGAATGAAAATATTATATTTATAAAACATTAAAATTTGATTACTGCAACCCGTGCGAAGGCAGGTACTTTGGCTAGTTAATAATATATGGGTATTTGGTAGTAGATCAGTAGTAAATGTCCTTTATCCCTTGCAGAAGTAAAAGGAAAAGTGTTTTATCTCATACTTCAACTACACTTCTGAGCTACCCAGGCAAATACTTTTAACTCAGAACTATAAAGTAGATGTTACGTTATAAAAGCTCATTTGTTTATATTGGAACGCTTGTTCTAGGACAGGAGTGTCACTGGGCTAGTCTGCAGGTCAGATCAGGACTGAACCCCTGTGCTGCGTGCAGTGCCTACGTCTGTGGGTCCACACTGTGCACTGCATGAACAACACACACTGGTCCCACCCCAGGGCTTACACTGCATGCAGCATGCAGGCTGGACCTGGCACTGAATGTGACATGGATCAGTCCAGGGCACGCACTATGTGCAGTGGTTGCTCTGAAGCCAGGGTGCAGGGCCAGTCCAGAGGGGTGCCACATCCAGCCAGTGCGCCAACCCAGTCCATACGCCACTTGCAGTGCATCCTGTGCTGGCCTTGCATACACAGCAAGCCCCAGGACCACACATGATGCACATGGCACAGAGGGCTGGACTGGCCATACTCTCTGCACATGGCCCAGGGCCAGCACAGGGCATGTGCTGCATGTGGCACCCTGCCAGACTGACCCTGACCTCTCGCTTGAGCATGACCCAATCCAGACCAACCCTAGAGCCAGCATGCAGAGCTGGTCCAGCACGGGTGCTGTTTACAGTGCACACCGCAGGCCAACCCTCTGTGCCATATGTGACCCCTATTTAAAGAGAATATCAATAATTTTCCAATCAAAATGGGAAAGAAAGAACATGTTTGTTAGCAGTGGTATAACATTGTGCTGCTCTACCTGTGGATGAGTGAACTTTCCTTGGTTAGCTCATGTGCAGAAATGTTAAATTATCCATGTATTTCATTATGTGAGACATTATAACTGTATTAAATATCTGATTTCTTACTTTTATTGGTAGTAAAGGTTGAAATAATTACCATTTCTTATCTGTCTGTTTAATCCAGTGGCCAGCCCAGGGCCTTAATGCACTCTTATGAAAAAACATGTCACTCAGAAAGCTTAAGGAAATATTTTTTGCTTTGAATAACCTTGTAAGAAGTGTTAATGAATATGACAAATATGAGTGACTTTTTTCAGATGACCTTTATTATTTTGCTGTACCTTTTAATCAGAAATCTAATAGGAATGCTTATTTTGAAGATGGGTATATTATGATCATCCTCCAGGAAGCCACATGCAAATAACATCATTATATGAAGGAAATATGTACTTCAACAAGAATTAGATTCTTGGTAACATCGTTAAATGCAATTAGTAGGTTTAATAACCACAGTGGAATATCAATAACATAGTGTGGAATAATGAGTACGATAAGATCCACTGTTAGTCAGATACAATTCTGACTCTTTATTTTCTATGACACAGCTTTCAAGTTGATCAAAAGGCCATATTCTGCAACTGGTAATATCACATTGTCATCTGAAAGTAACCAGGGTGTGATTGTTACCAAAATACAGTTTGGTGCCCATACCAGTGCTGCTCAAACCCAGACATGGATTCTTCAGAAATTAATCCTAAAAAGTAAAGATGTTCAGGGTGCTCCAAAATCCAAACAGGTAAATATACTGATCTCTTATAGTACAATTGGCAGTGCTAAAAGAAATTAAAAGGATAACAGAACTTCATAACCCATTTCAGAGGTGTTTTTGTCTAACTACTGTTGTGTTCTTTAGAATTCTTGGGTTAATATCTTTCATCTACTATTGTGCTTGCTTTCAATTATTAGTCCAGTAGTTCATAATTCTGGGTAGGAATTGGGTGACAGTGTTGTTTATAAATATTATATTAATAACCGTGTTTTTTGTTGTAATTAATTTAGAAGAATCATAGTACCTACAAAAATAACTACAGAACTTCCAAGACATTTCATGTAGCCAGACTACTCAATTAGCTAAATATTCTGATACGTCTCCAACAATGAGATGTTGCTGTCCAGTACCATTACTTTCTCCTTGGACATCATTCACAAATATATAATACATTACATCCAAATAGGAACTAACTAAATGCATGCATATATAATATTAATTTGTCTCAAGTTATTCCATGGTAGTGGTCCTTCCCTTGTCATCTTTTGCTATTGGAAATCTAATGTAATCTACCAACCTCACCCATGTATGCAAGACGAATGAGATGCTTCTTTCCTCAGAACCACTTTCTAAAGATTATATTGTCAGAGAAGCTGATCTAGGTTAAAATGAGAACATTGTCCCTATCTCTATTTGAATGAGATCAAGCATCTTTGGCTATGGCTTACAACTATTTGTAGAGTCTCATCAAACCTGGGTTCTTCAGATAATGATATATGCTATGAAAAAATACCTCAGTAGATACACAAGTTATATGTTTTAGAAAGAAAAGAATGTAGTGGATTCATAGCTACTTGCATGACCTGCCATCATTTCATGTTAATATTCAGTATTACAGTACAAGAAAAACAAAGTTCAACATAGTTTAGATATGGTTTTCAGTGTTGTTGTATTTATTCTAAGGTGCTAGTGTTCATTGATGACCTGAACATGCCAATGCCAGAGGAGTACGGTGCCCAGCCTCCACTTGAATCACTCAGGCAATTTTTAGATTTAGGAGGATTTTATAACAGTAAACAACTTGCATGGAAGGTATGATATGGATTTCATACTTTTATCAGTTTTGATAACTAGCTTATTTTCAGAAGTTAAATCTGTGGCATTAGAGCAGAAAAGTATATGACCCTTAATTTCCTGTTTGTTCACTGAAAGGATGAAGTTTTTAGGTGCAGAAACCTAAGCAGTTTCTTCAAGGAAAGTAAAGATCATTGTTTATTTATACACATTGACCATTGTTGAAAAGTATTTGAACATATGCCTAATAGGGCTGTGAGAAGCTTTGGTCTCTGATTTCAATTCAGTGGAGATTTGGCCCGATTCAGTGACTGGATTTCCGAATCAAATCAGAGGACCCTTTAATCTCTCTGAATCAAATTGGAACCCTCTGAATCAATTCAGAGAGATTAAGAAAGATTCGGAGATTCAGATATAGACACAGCTTTAAATGTTTTTTCTACATACCTCTAGGTAGCAGGTGGGTCATGAATGCTGCAATGCTGAGGCTCAGGGAGTGTCCCACAAAAACCTGGGAGGCTCCTCAGCACTCTTGGCAACAGGCCCGGAAGTGGATCAGAAGCACTTCTGGTCCACTTCCACCCCCCCAGCTCGACAGCTGGTACCTCCTGGGTCTGGGGGGGCACCTCCCCCCCGAAGAGCTGATTATCAAGCCAGAGGGGCCTTGCATGCTCCCTGGCAGACCCGGAAGTAAACCAGAAGTACTTCAGGTCCACATCTGGGTTCACCACTGAGCACATGGAGGGACCCCCACACTCCTGTGGGACGCTCCTTCCGCCCTACCATTGCAGCATTCACAAACCATGCTGGTACCTCAAGGTATGTAGAAAAAAAAATTAAAGTTGTGTCTGTGTCTGAACCCCTGATTCTCCAAATCAGCATCGAATCTTCAGATTCAGATTCAGCCGAATTGAATCGGAGACAGTGATCCAAATCAACGAATTAAATCGCTGTCCCTGATTTGGGCCAAATCCAAATCAAATAGGGCCAGCTTTGCACACCCCCAATGCCTAACTTTGGTTTTGATTAATTCAATAGGATTTAAGTATATGTTTAAATATAGCTATGTGTTTGAATTATTCCCTGATATTGAGACCATTCATATACGCTTGTATATGTGTGCACGCACACACGCGCACGCACATGCACACACACGCACACACGGATGAGATACATAGCTCCTTTTTTGACAAATAATAGCTTGAGTATGAGAACAAAAAGCATTGAGAGAACAGCTACCTGTCCCTGATAACAGCTCTTGTCTGACCAAACTTTCTTCTTCCTAGATTTGGAGTTTTGGCTGTTCACAGTCCTTGACCACCACCATAATCTCACAATCCCTATATCTCCCTGTTGTTGCTGTCTTGAGATAAGACAACAATCAAAGAATCTCATCTTCTCCTGCTTCAGGCTGTTTTTCTTTCTTATGTTTTCTTCTACCCCTACCACTAATTGCCCCTCTTAGACAGTAGCATAACTAGGGGTGGGTGAGTGGAGTACAAGTGCTGCCTGTCCCCACTTTCCAGTGCTTAGCGCAACACCTCTTCCCATCTCTACCCAGAACATAGAAATTGCTAGTTATACTTCTGCACTCAGGGTTCTCTGTAGGCCTATGCAAAGCAGCTAGTATTCACTTTGTATGTGGATTCGGCTGATTCAGGGGACAGTGATTCGATTCAGTAATTTGGGGCTGGGTGGGGCAGCCATGGTGGGGCTCGGAGAGCAGACGGGAGTTGGGGGCACTCAGGGGGGTTGGGGGGGCAGGCAGGGGCTGGGGCCTGGTGGGGGTCCACCCCCACCATGGTCCCCTCCCTCTCCTCCAGCCTCCCTCCGCTGCCCCCTACTTACCAGCACAGAGTCTGGGTTCAGCTTCCTGTGGCAGTGAGCAGGGACTGCCCGAATCTCCGCAGCTCTCTGAATCTTTCTGAATAAATTTGGAGGACAAATCTATTTGGACCTTTTTATTGGTCTCCTGATTCGATCTAGATTCAGAGATTCAACTACCGAATCGGGCCAAATCTCCTCCAAGTCAAATCAGCACCCGAAGCTTTGCACAGCCCTACTTATCTGCACATGACACACATGGAGTAAGTTCTCTACCTTCCATCCCTTTCTCCTTCTGATCCCCCAGTTCTACTTACTCTCTGAAACAGGGGGCAGATAACAGCAGCTTTTATTCCAGAAATAAATGCTCAGAAGGAAAGACAGGTTAAGAATAGGGGCTGAGCAGGGAGTATATATAGACATGGCTTCTTACAATAACAATTAGTTATTTAACTTTATACATTATATGAGAATTTTGCAAAGCTAACAGAAACTGTTCTTTTTCTTCCTATACATCTATATTTTTAACCTGTTTTTTCATTGAAATTTCCCCCTTCCTTTTTTATTCTTTTTTGCATTTTTTTTCTCTCTCTCTCTCATTTCACTTGTTCCTGTTAATTCAGAATTAGGTAAAGTGCAATTTCTTAGTCTAAAAGATAACTGTATACTTTCACCTATCATCAAAGAGAAACTTTATGTAAAAACTAGAAACATTTCAGCAGACTAATCAGAAATTTATGCATTCTAAAACAGTTCAACTACCCATGACTGTAGTCTAATTTTCCTGTCTTTGGTTAATTGTTAAAAAGGATACCTCAATTTTGTTTTGTTTGTGGGATCTGTTTTTGCTTGCAGGAGAGGTGTTTCTTTTTTTAATAATGATTGCAGATCTTTTTTTGGGGGGGGTCATTTTTCAAATAATTAGAATGTGGCCTGTTTTTTAAATACATTTAGAATTTTTACCATGAAATCACTAACATTTTTAGTATACTATGATGAAACTGTAGAGTTTTCCAGTGTTATACAGAACCTACCACATGATTACAAATTATTTCTTAGGGGTCTGATCCTCTTACCATTGAAGTAAATAAGTCCCAATACTTTCAGCTGAAACAAAATACAGACATTCAACTGGGAACATTTTTTATTACTTTTGGAGTTATGAAATGCACTTGCTATCATTGAATTTTTTCCTTTTCTAATTCTCACAGAATGTCCAGGATGTCTCCTTGGTAGCAAACTGTGCTCCTGCAAGTGGTGGAAGAAGTGAGATTAGCCCACGTCTTCTGTCACACTTCTCCATATTAGCTCTTCCTCAACCTTGCTTACAGTCCTTACAACGTATTTTCCAGGTAGCGGATATAATATTTTGATGAAATTATATCAGTGAATGAAAGTATGAAGAATGAATAGCTAATAAGATTTCAAGCAAAATATCACAAATAATTTTTCATGTCATAAGGCATTAAAAATGTAAAATACAAGGAAAGAGATTACTTGAAATCTCTTAAGAAATCCATAAGAGAAATAGATTTTTGTGGGTGATATCTTTTATTGGAAAAACTGCATGGTTGGGATAGACTTAGATATAGGCAAGCTTTTGAATGCAATGCATTGTTCTTTGGGTCTAAGGAAAAAGCAGGCACAACTACAGCTAAAACAGTCTGCAGGGGCATGATATTGGAGAAGATGCATTCACAGGAATAGGTAACAGACAAGAAAACTGCAGAAGAAACAATGACTTGATTCATGGAAAATCAAGACCATTAAAAAGGGGAGAGTGCATTGAACACCTGTGGAATGGAGAGAACAATGAGAGAGATTGTAATGAGCCATGAAATCAGTATCTGTGTTCAGTCCTCAGTTCTTAGTGTCCAGCCAGCTCCTGAATTTTTATTCCCAGGCTTGCTTTTTCTCGGCCAGGATGGCCAATCTCTTAGATAGGGCTTTAAACTAAGAATGTTGGGGGATGGGGAAATGCTAACTGGAGCCTACCCGGGGACTAATATACAGGAAAGCTCCATCAACAGTAAAGCCAAGCCACTCTTACGGGAGCTGAGAAAACAGCTCCCCTTCAATGCAACAGGCAGCCAGTGACCTCAGTAGAAGGACTTAGGTGCCTGTACACCAATGCTAGAAGCATGGCGAACAAGCAGGAAGAACCAGTCCTCCTGCTTTCCACTGGGCACTATGATCTAGTAGGGATCATGGAGACCTGGTGGGACTCCTCTCATGACTGGAGCTTACCCATAAAGGAATACATCCTTCACAGAAGGGTTCGGGTAGGGAAGAGAGGTGGGGGTGTTGCCCTGTGTGTGAAGGAGCAGTACACCTCCCTACAGGCCGTTGTTGGCCCCAAAGAAGAACAGCTTGAAACCCTCTGGGTCAAGCTCTGGGGGAGGTGCGGTGAGAGAGACCTGACTGTAGGTGGTGTGTACTACAGGCTGCCTAACCAAGAGGAGGAACTTGATCTAGCATTCACTCGTGAACTAATGGAGGCCGTGCGTGCAAGGGACATGGTTGTCAAGGGTGGCTTCAACTATCCAGACATGTCCTGGGAGAAGAGCTTGGCCAGCTTGGATCAATCATGATCCTTCCTGACCAGCACCAAAGAGCCTTCTTTGACTCAGAAGGTGCACAGGCCAACTAGAGGCAATGCAGTTCTTGACCTGGTCCTGGCCAAAGGGGATGACCTTGTGACCAACTTAAACATAGAGGGCAGCCTAGGCAATAGTGACCATGAAATAATTACATTCACAGTTCGTCGCAAGGCTGACAAAACAGATACCAAGCTCGAAGTCTTAGACTTCAAAAATGCAAATTTTAATAAGCTCAGGTCACTAGTAGAGAAAGCCCTGAGAGACCAAGGACCACAGGTAGAGGGAGCATGAGAAGAATGATCGTTCCTTAAGGATACAATCCTTAAGGCTCAGAGAAAATCCATTCCCTTATGGAGAAAAAGTAGCAGAAGGGTCAAAAACCCTCTTGGCTAAGCAGGGAAGTTTCAGCCCTCCAACAGAAAAAGAAAGAGGCATACAAACAATGGAAGCTTGGGACAGCCTCTAATGAAGCCCACGCTTGTAGAAAACAGATTAGGCAAGCTAAGGCAGAAACCAAACTAAAATTAGCTACAAGAATCAAGGACAACAAGAAGTCCTTCTTTAGCTACATAGGGAGTAAAAGGAAAACTAATGGGAGTGTGGGCCTGCCGCTCAGTGCCTCAGGATACCTGGTCACTACCACTCAGGAAAAAACAGAACTCCTAAATGACTACTTTGCCTCAGTCTTTTACAAGACCAAGGGGAACAACATGCCAGGTAGGGCACAGAACGAGCAGGGTGGGATTGACACATTCCCACCATTGCCATAGAACTGGTGTATGATCGATTAAAGAAATTAGACTTCTATAAATCAGCAGGACCGGATGAACTCCACCCAAGAGTGCTGCAAGAGTTGGCTGAAGTAATCACAGAGCCCCTGGCAAAGGTCTTTGAAAAATCATGGGCCTCTGGAGAAATCCCAAAGGACTGGAAAAGGAACAATGTTGTGCCTATCTTCAAGAAAGGGAAGCATGAAGACCCAGGAAACCACAGGCCTATTAGCTTAACTTCTATTCCAGGGAAAATCCTAGAAACATTCATCAAAGAGGCTATATGTGACAAACTTGCAGAAGGCACGATACTGAATGACAGCCAGCATGGCTTCATTGCAGGCAGGTCTTGTCTGACCAACCTCATTTCTTTCATGATCAGGTGACTTGTCACCTGGATGGGAGAAAAGCAGTTGACATCATATACCTCAACTTCCAGATAGCCTTTGACCTGGTATCCCACAAGGTACTGATCAGAAAACTGGAAGATATCGGGCTCAACTACGGGACCATCAAGTGGGTGCAAAACTGGTTGCGGGGTAGGACACAAAGAATCCAAATGGATGGATCAGTGTCGTCCTGGCAAGATGTGTGTGGCAGCATACACCAAAGGTTGGTACTTGGCCCAATGCTGTTCAATATCTTCATCAGTGACCTGGATGAGGGGGTGGAAAGCCCATTGGCCAAGTTTGCAGATGACACCAAGATATGGGGTTGTGCGGACACACCCGCAGATAGGCTACAGATACAACCAGACCTAGATAGGCTGGCATTTGGGACAGAACAAAACCAGATGAAGTTCATTATAGGGAAATGCAAAGTGCTGCATCTGGGAAGGAAGAACCCCCAGCACACCTACAGGCTGGACATCGCTAACCTGACCAGCACTACAAATGAAAGGGATCTAGGGGTAACAATAGACCCCAGCATGAATATGAGCCAGCAATGTGACACAGTAGCCACTGGGGCCAATAAAACTGGCATGCATCAATCGATGCATCTCCAGTAAATCCAAAGAAGTGATTCTCCCACTTTACTCAATGTTGGCGCAGCCGCAGCTGGAGTATTGCGACCAGTTCTGGGCACCGCACTTCAACAACAATGTGCTAAAGCTCAAGAGGGTCCAGAGAAGGGCCACCTGCATGATCAGGGACTTGCATGGCAAGCCATACGAGGAGAGGCTGAAGGTACTTGGACTCTTCAGCCTAAAGAAAAGAAGGCTGAGAGGGGACCTGATTGCTCCTTACTGCTATATCAGAGGCATACATCAGGGGCTCAGTGAACAACTGTTCACCAGGGTGCCCTGGGGGAAAACTACAAACAACAGCCACAAACTCCTGGAAGATAGTTTCAGGCTGAACATTAGGAGAAACTTCTTTACAACTAGGGTGTCCAGACTATGGAACAAGCTGCCCTCAGAGATGGTGCAGTCATTTACCCTAGAGGTCTTCAAGAGAAGACTGGACTGTCACCTGATGTCTTTCCTGCTTATGCAGGAGGCTGGACCTTCCAGCCCTATGATTCTATGATTTTATTAAGAAATTTCTGTTAAGAAATCCACCTCTATTTCAGAGCCTCAAGTTGAGGCAGACATTCAATATGCCCCCAAACATATTATATTTCACTGCTTATGAAACGCTTAAGATTTTACAATATTAATTCACCTTAAAAGCAAGTTAGAGAAAAAGTTCCTTGAAGATTACCATGGGCCATTCTTACAATAATTTCCAGTTGCAAGATTTTGATTGAAATAGCCTTGGGTGTGCTGAAGAAGAGGCTTAGTTTACATAAATAATCTGCATTTTAAAAACAATACTTTTTAAACATGTTCTAATCTTTCTCTCTCCTACCTCACTTGCAAACTACTCTACAGTTTTTCTCTATTCAATTTGACTGACATTGGGTAATCTGGGATTATCCAGGTCTGAAGAAAATGGGTTGGAGCAGCAGCAGGGAAAACTTCCCTTTATGTTCCCCACACTGGGCTAAACCAGTGTAGGTAAATTGGGAGGAGGAGCTGCTGTTCCACTTCTCTTGGGGACTGGGAGGAGTGTCAGGAAAAGGCTTTCTCTGTACCTTCCCCAGACTACGGTAAACTCCATCTGGAGAACATAAGGGGAGCAGAGGCTTCTGAGCTTTTCCCAGGGACCAGGAGGAGTAGAATAACTGCTGCTCTCCCACCTTTACCAGTCCAAGGTCAGCCTGGTCTGGAAACAAGTGGGGACCATGAGGCAGCTGCAGGCTGGAATGCTGCAAATTGCCCATAAATTACTAAGGCATATATGAGACGCTGAGTAAATCCCAAAAATGTAATCACAGAAAACCCATGGCTAGTAAGTGTATGCCAGATGATACTATCCACTTTCAAAAGGATTCAAGGGTGACTGCAGCCTTCGAAACATTATGTCCCAACTCTAAGAAGGAAGAAGCACCCCCAGCTTCTGTCCATTGGCAAGTTTCTTCTGTCTAGTAATAGAGTTGTCCACAAAGGGCCTCAGAGGTACTAAGATCAATGATGGAATCTCTGTCTCCTTTTCTGCTGTACCACAGTCAGGACATCTACCAGGAAGTAAGTTTAATACCAGGACTGAGATGCTGATAAGACCTCTCCAGGATCTCTTTTTATTCCAACTATTCTCCCCTTTTAAAAACAACCTCTTTTATTTTTTAAGTACCAGTAGTTCAGGCTATTATGTTCAACTGTTTTATCCTGGAAATTATAAAAAAGTATCCCCTGCTGTTTCAACCCACAGGAAATAATTTAGATTCCTGATAGGAAAATCCTGCTACTAGTTTAGGGTTCTGTCTTTTGGTGGTCCTCCTGCACATAATTTGCAGCATTGGCATCTCTTTTCAGAAGAAAAATATTCCAGCTCTGTATTTATATTGATAATTTGAGGAAGATCTCCACAGCAGGTGACTGTTTCAATTCCAGTAACGATATAGCTCTTTATCTTTTAGGTTTCAAAGCACATAGGCAAA